AGCCAACACGAGGGAAGGAAATAACCAACACGAGGGAAGGAAGTAACCAACACGAGGAATGATGTTTAGGTGTGGAAGGAGGGGACAGAGGGACAGCCAGATTTACAGTAGTCTTAGTTTCCTTTCAATCGAATAGCGATAGTATCTATACCGCATTACAGGGATGTTACGAGGCTAACTGGTATAGTAACTGAAGCGCTAAGCACAGTGCCTGACCTGTGACATGCACTCAGACTTAACTGTTATTACTGTTAAAGACAGCATATGTAACCTTTGGGCACATTAACTGAGGTTTGATTCTTTGTGCTTCTTTAAGCCCGTTACTTGGTATCATTCTATCATCTTCCACACTCATTGTTCTCAGAGAGTAGATAAGGCTAAGGATAAAAAATTCTGTTGAATGTCTGAATGGATTTATTTTAAACCCATAGTAGAGACAACAGCTTGAAAGGCAAGACTTTCTTTTATTCTCAAAGCTGTGCATTTAGGGAAAGAACAAAACAAGTGTGTAGCTACTTCCTTGTTTTTGGGATGGTGCCCAGTACCCCCCTTTCTGAACCAAGGAAGCCACTGCTCAGGCAATGTCTTTTCATCTGTGGTCCGGAAACTACTCTTGAGTCACAAAATGGATTTAATGGGATAACATGCATTAGAAGAAAAAGCAAAGGAGTAGAAAATATTGGAGTACATTACAAGGTTCTAGTAAATATTGTTACATGAAGCTGCTCTTTCATTTGTGCTGTATACTTGGATTCAGCCATGATGTAAAATGTTTTCTGTGGTGGCCACAGGCAAACACACCTGTACCTCATCAGGGACTCCATGGCAGAGGACATGTGTGTCACTCCCCTCAGCACATGCCAGGGAGAACCGCAGCTCTGGGCTGAACTTCTGCATCCAGTGGATTTGCACAGCAGCGCGGCCTTGGACTAGGGGGTTACAGAGCCATGTGCACCTCGGGGAGGCGAAGGAAAGAGCTGAAAAATTTCTGTGGCCACCACACGGGACACAGAAGAGGGCCTGAACAAGCCAAAAGACAAGCAAGAGCTGGAGCCTCCATAGCGAGGATGTGGGCACGGGGAAACCGAGACACCGGAACTCAGCCAGCTCAGGGCAAGGGACCAAGTGAGGAAAGTCCCTCACGAGTGTGGACACAAGGGCTGGGTGCTGCTTTCCTCCCCAAGCGGCACGAGCTCTGCCCCCTGCGGGTCCACTGCTGCTGTGGAGACGGAAAGAGGGCTGGAGAGGCAGCGGAAGGGAACCCCGATCAGATCAGCCACCCGCTAGAGGCAGCATGGCTAGGACAGAACTGGCTGGGTTGGTCTTGAATTTGGGTGACTACATCTACAGCCCAGCAGACCGGAGATTGAGTTCAGGATCTGAGGTCAGTTCTAAGGAAATAAGGCTCCGTCCCTGAACACCAAGGGCCATGGCTGTATAAAATATCAAACCTGACACATCATTAATAACAAGGCCGTTGGGCTTGGCAACTCAGAAGTCATGAGTGGCCTCCAAAACGGCAGTTTCCACAAAAACGGTCGAGACATGAGCCAGATGGGAACCGGTCAGGGCAGAGTGGTCAGAAGGAACTGCTCTGTGGGGATACTGGCAAGGACAGGGTACGGATGAGTGCGGGAGGCAGGCCTGAGGGAAAGCTCTGTTTGCTTTAATGGAGAAACCCAAGAATTTATGGGCGGAACTTGTAGGGGGCCGATGAGAAACGCTTACACAGAGGTCTCCTTGGGGCAAAAGCAGGAGCCAGCACACATCGGAAAGGGCTGACGCTCAGGTGGAAAGTGCTAGGGTTAGCAAAGGCGATGCTCGGTGCCTCAGGTGAAGGACCGGGTGGCGTTCCCGACGGTCGGCTCCGGGGGTGCGGGTCCGTCTCTCTGGTCCGCCGCGGCTGCACTGGCTGGGAAGCTGCGGGAGTGGAAGGCTTGCTCCCCCACTGCAGCCCTCGTCGCCCCTCAGGAGTCCCCG